CGATAGGTATGTATGTACGCACGTAGTTCGGACAGAGTAAGAGCTTAAGGCAAACTATCACCGCCCTTTAATGTCTCCGGCGGTGTGCTATAGGAATACCTACTGTCACATATTTTTTCGGCTTCGGCGTCAACGAAGTTATGAAAAAAGCATCCATTGTACACGACTTGGGAAGTGTGAAGATGCTACCAAATGATCAGCTTCTTGCCTTACATTACTTCGAGGACATCGCCTTCATCTGTTTCAGCCCACAAACCTGACAAGCAACACTAGATATATTAGCACTGGTTGTCAATCGTTTCGGGTTGTGCTTTGCACCCTTGAAATGCAAAGTCCCCTAAGATTGGCACAGTCAAACCCTGGTGGACATAAACTAGCTTCTCAGTAATTCAACTACCTGGGTATCTGTATTAGTGAGTTCGCGAACATTGCAGCAAAAGCTCGAAGTGCTTCTGCCAACCTCCGCCACCTGAAGCGCCGGCGCGACGTCACGCTTCCATTGAAGAGCAGCGTTGACAACGCAGCTGTGCGTTCAGCGATAGTTTATCGTTGCGTAACGCAGCCCATCAGATCGACAGAGATAAAAAGGTTAGTTACGTTTAGCTCATGTCTGGTGGGAACACCGCATGACCAGGTCTTTTTAAGCTGGCTAAATTTCATTCCACCTCATTTGGCTTGTTCAGCATACCTGAATAATCTTCTTGTAACTTGCACTCGTTGCTTATGCTAATCTTCGTTAACTTTATCGCGTTCGTTGCATTTTTTGAATAACTTTGAACATTTTGTACTTTTCGCGGATTCGTTGCTAACCAACTTACTTCATATATTAATTTGGCGAATAGTTATGTCGGCATAGCCTTACGCTTTAACAGAGATATATTTTATTTGCTAATGTCATTTCATGTGATTGGCTGCTGTTTGACATTCCCGGTGTGGCTGCGCTTGATGTGCATGTTGACAAGGTGCCTACCTGTCTTTTTCCCACTACCTCTTCCATACTGGCTCCACGAGACAGTTGGTCATTGACGGAGCGGACGAGGTGCACAGTCGTTGTGGTCGTGCTAGGCTCGAAGAGTGGTTCCATGCACTCAGCATGGAGCGGACTACGGTCCAGTCACCGCCTTGTGTGCGCTTGATTCCCAAACTACAGCGTACTTGCGTTTGCCTGTGAAGGAGTGTGGGCCGGCTCCGTTGATGAAACGTGGCTCCCATCCACATGCCTCCCGGTCTTATTCCTTCCGGTTTACACTGAATATGGGGTGTGTGGTTGGGGCTGTGCGTGGTGCAGCGCAAGCCACCCATGGTCCCTCTGTAGGCGCACGCGTCCTGTGGCTGGCCACAGTGACAGGCAAATCCGAGACAGGATGCCGCCAACCACCTATGTATGTGTGCCCCATGCTGAGGCTGATGTTGCATTCTTGATGCTTCTCCACCGCAGTTGGACTAAACCAATCTACACTTAAACTAGGTCTCTTTAAGTTGCATAAATTTCATTCCACTTTATTTGGTTTGTTTTGTCTATCCTCCTTTTGCTCTTAGCTATGAAGAGAAAACCACCTTCCTCCGCTTTCTCACTTTGCTCATTATAATACTGACACACTCCTGATACAGTACTAACACAGTCCGGCGCGAATGACTCCTTTTGGTGTTGGTTGCGAACATCAGGCGTTTCAGAATATTGCACCACTATTTGCACGCATCTCATATCGTAAACAAACCACTGGTCAGCGTTCACACAAAACAAATCTTCTGTCTGACCATCTCATGAGCCCTCAAGAGTTATTTTAACCTCAGCTACCCATTACCTCTTGTGCAGCACACCTACAACTTTTCGGTAGACTTCCTAATCCTCTAAACATCCGCAAATGATCTGATCTCATTCCATATATCTACTTAACCTCAAATTGGAGCCCTTGAACATCGAATGACCGATCGAACATATATGGATGTTTTGCAACTACTAAGTGCCTTGACTGCTAGAGGCGAACTTCGCAGTTCACACATTGATCGTTAGGAGCGCCGTCTCGGCGTTGGTATAGTGACATATGACGAGGTTCGCAGTTTGTTTTTTCTCAAGAACGCCTAACTGTATCTGTTGGTTGGGGTTGCTATGTTGCTTTGTTTACGAGCCAACCGAGCAGTGTGCCCAGCTCACCAGGATTTGTGATCTCCGAGTTTTGGTGATCTACTATGTGGTTCATGACACTTTTAACCAAGCTCTTATTTCCAAAACGTATGTTGGTTTGCCTCCCGAGAGGCGTCAGTTTTGACCAGGTTAAATAGGCTGAACATATGCGTCAGACGCAGTGATTGCAGTTTCTTCTATTGAGTAAATAAAGTGAATTGGTTATCCGTGCCCCATTGGCCCGAATTCAGCTTTGCCATCCCCGGTCCAGTATGCGAAGATTCCAAACCCTCTCTTTATCTTGTGCATATTTCATCGCTTTTTCATTAAATTCGCCTTCTTCGGCGACCATTTAGCAAGACCAACCTGCGAAGCGAGGTTCTTCATCGATGTCGAAATTTAAATTATGAAACTTAATCAACCCCTTTTCTCTCAAGCAATGCGAATATTTGTGGTGGTTTCCCAACTGATAATGTGTAACTAATTGTGGACACGTAAATGAAACGAATGACAAGACATTTTAGCTCCACCAATATTACACACATTTTCTGATCTCATCCTTCCCACTCTCCTGGAGTCGATGTTCTGCTAGACGACTGAACGTCCCAAACTTGGGGTGTGTGAACGACACAGCTGCTATGCTAGCGCTGCTGGATAATTGACCGACGTGTCTCGCTGCACGCTTTGGTACCTAAATAAATAAATCGTACATTCCTCGACGATGCGAGAACCTGTTCCCTAGAAGGAACAGATCAAATAATGGTACCTTTTCATGACATTGCATTAATACTTTTTCAAAAATTAACGGGAGCAATTTCAAATTTAGGTAAAACAATGGAATCAGAATCGTTCTGCTATTTTTCCTTTCATTGTACCAGGGTTGTTCACAATCACATGACTGATGTTCGATCCGAGAAAAAGTGAAATGAAAGGGGCTGTGGTCCAAAATGTTATGTGTATATATTTCGAAAATTTATACTGGCACCATCCATACCGTTTTCGAAAGCGTAATCTAGGGACTGTGATGTCTCGAACATATTAATCACATTTTGGACCGTTAACTGCTTACTAATCGCAAGCTTAAAATTGCACAGTACATAGCATTTTCTGATATCACTTGGAAGTTTGTTCCAAATCTTTAAATACTGGGTTAGAAAGAAACGTTCCCTGATTCTCGTAGTAAATTTTGGAATCATGATATTTGCCTCTTTGTTACGGATTGGATATTTGCTGCTTATCCATACTATAAAGAAAACATAGGTTCAGCGTCATTATCCGAAGCCAAACTGGGTCAAATCCAAGTTTATCACATTGCTCTCTGTATGTTTACTTTGATGAATATCCACATAGCTTTTCCGTGAAGCGTCTCTGGACCCTCTCAAGAGCATGCTGGTCAGATTTCCGCAGATTAGACTGGAACACTGAACAGTATTCCATACACGGCCTTACATATATTATGTAAAGCGATATGCGAGATTCCATGAGGTAAAAATAGTGGCAGATGTAACCGATGCTCTTCATGGCTTTCGAAACTTGACAGTCACAATGTTCAGAAAAGTTAAAAGTGACTGAATATCGCACTCCCAAGTTGCGAACTGCCCTGCATTACGAGATATATGCGCCTTGTAGTAATAAACTATCTGGCGGTACTTGGCATTTGTACGACAGAATATTACACTTGTCCACGGCAAATGACATCTGCAACAGTTGGCACGCAGATAGGTCATCCTGACTGAGACATACGGCTTCCTGGGTCTTTGCACCTGGTTGTGAAAAGACAACTTTTATGTCACCAGCAAAGATAAACGTAACGCCCTTTCTTATGCGCTGGAATATCTCCTTAATATGTATTAGAAAAAGATGATCAAGAACACTCCCTTGAATCACTCCACTGGGAATTGCTTTTGGTTTAGAGAAATGGTCGCTGATGCGCACCACCTGCTGTCTACCAATTAGATATGAAGACAGCCAAGAAGACATCGGTTTTCCAATGCCTAGCCTTCAATTTGTTCAGTGACCTTCTGTGAGGCACTCTATCGAAGGCTTTTTGCATATCCAGGAGCAGGATTACAACACTGTTTCCGTTGCGTGGTTTAACAAGTCTGCCTGGCATTTTGCGCACGATCGATCTTGCATGAAGCCGTGTTGCGAATTTCTTATGATGTTAGCCTTTCTCAAGAATACAAATTGTTCATATTTCACCATCCTTTCCATTATTCTGTACACGTTTGGTGTGTGATTGATGGGACGAAAGTTTTTAGCCTCTTGGGCGACGCCATTTTTGTGTCGCGGGATAACGACAGAACTTTCCCACTGAGTAGGTTAAAAGAGAGGGTAAAGATGTTTAGCGAAAGCAAAAGGGACTCACTACTACTGCTTTTTATTGAACAAGAAGAGATCCCATCTGGGTCTGCGCAAGTTGAGGAGCATAAACGAGGGACTTGACCAGTGATTTTTGCTCTAATGAATTCTACGTGCATGCTGTAGTGTTACCGAACTGAGCCGACTTATCGCAAACGCATGCCTACGGTTTCTCTGGTTTAAGTTATTGTTCTCGGTCACTTCGATACATGTATCAGTTGTTCTTTTAGATGCAAAACGACAGCGTTATATAAACAAGTGTAGCCGCGCCCTATATGCATACACTTGTCCAAATCCTTCAGCCAGATTGCACCTATCATGGTCATCTGCTTATTCATTCTTTGTCGTCCTACAATGCACTACCATTGATTGGAGTTTCAACTGCTCGGCATCTCAAGTTTACTTTATTTTCGATTGACGATTGACTGATGGTTTTTTCCCTTACATTCTCAGTGGTAGTGTGACTACTGAAAGTCGACCCTTTCAAGTGCATGAAGCTCTCTTCAACCTATACATGTTTTTCTTCCAGGATTGGTTGTCTTTGGAGTTTCCTCGTGCCAGAATACTCGCAATAGACGCTTCTCTTAACCCTTTTGTTTGGGACCCGATTTGTCCGGTGGATAAATTGGAGTAAGTATATAAGGAACTTCGTCTAACCAAAAGCATTAGCCACCCTTCAGCACTCATCTGTATTGTTTCCTTTTTACTTGTTGGTCTCCTATCCATGCAGGCTTATCACACCGATGATGCCGATGACGATTATACTTCGCGGAAATCTATGCTAAGTTATCATTGCCATTACTCTTATTATAATTTCCCTATTTGCTCGTTTATTTGGTTGTTAGTATTCCATCCCGGTTAATTTTACTCACTTGTCCTTTCCTTTGTATTCTTTTTGCCTTCCATTTCACTCTCCTCAGTTTTGCTGTTTGTTGTTATCCTGGCGCTGCCAGTTGCAATAACTAGATCCACCTCACTACCGTCCCCAGGTCATGTTGTCTAACTGAACTAACATAAGTCGTTCACACATCGTCCGACTGCGATGTGCTTTATTCGGATGCATTGTGATGACAATCTTTGGGACCTTGTCTTCTACCTTCCTTTAATCTATGTCAGTCACCTTGTCATTATGGTCCTTTCAGATCGCTTCGCGATTTTATTTCCACAGTATTCAGTCCGTTCTGTCTGCTAGGAAGCATCCTACTGGTCGCATTTGCGCGCACAGATCTCATTCGTATTACGGTTTAGTAATCAAACGCTCTTCAGTGGTTTTTCATCTTCAGGGATAACTTTATTATGCGTTTTTATTCACTACGAAAATTCCAGTCAGTATTTTTCTTGTCCTATCCAGACGCACCATGGATACGCGAGCAAAGAAATTATTGCCGCAACTCAGTGCCGCTGGCGTCGGACGTCGCCCTATTATTTGGGTCACGCACTCAGCCGGAGGTAGGTCACATCATTGTTCACCGTTCGTTCTTGTGTCGTCCTTCACAATCCTTATGTTAGCAGCAATGCTTTCCAGCACAAACGCTCACGTCGCGTCATTTGGTGCCCAACGAATTCCTCCGTGACCTGGACCAGAATTGACCACATTGCCGTCAGCTACATATGGCGCACATCAGTCCATCAGTCAGTTGGCTCATCAACTAGCTATTAGCCCCAGACTGCAAAGACGTTGTAGTTCGTTCAACCATTTTTTGCACAGCAATAGGCACCTTCCTGGACGGTAACGCTACTGGTTTGGCGAACTTGTATAACTACAAGTGAGCGCTCCTGGTTATGCATGCATACATTCTCAATAGTCTAGCAACTAGGCATACAGTCAACAAAAATCATGAAGATTAGCGGATCACTCCTGGTTAAAAGAAACCAAACCAAGTCTCTGGATGGAATCAATACCCAGAATGGGCACAAGGTCTTCTGACAATACCAGGAACTCCAGCTAGTTTTATATTCCATTCTTCGGATTGATCGTCTCCAACATGGCATACCCCTTTGGTTGTAGCGTCGAACCGTTCCACATCCTGAGACAAGTCTGAGTTTTGTCACAGGGCACTCCTTTGCAGTACTCTCCTAGAAGTATGTTGGTGGTGGACTCTGAGTCTAGTTGAAAACGTACAGGTCGTCCTCCAACCAAACCTGTTGGAAAGACACTTGTATTTTGCGCAGCTATCCATGTTGTTTATTGAGAGTTCCTGCTCCTTTTCTTTGTTGCTATTAGCCACTGAACTCACCTTGTAGGATCTGCAGCAACGAGCGAAATGATTTATCCTGGAGCGCTTCATGCAAATTCGACCCAACGCTGGGCAGTTTTTCTTTGCACTTTGACTATTTACAGCTGCAAAACTGACACTGGTTCCTGCTCATAGGATGCCTGGTGCATACGTTTACGGGCTCGGGATATGGCGCACAAATCCGTGTTTGTCTCCACCCGAAATTTTTCGAATTGGTGGTCTATCCTAGCTTCACTGAGGCAGATTTCCACGCATTGCTTCAAGGACAAATGTCTCTGTCTCAGAAAGTGGCGCGTGAGTTCGTCATTCTTTATCCCGATAACGATGCGGTCACGTATAAGGGATTCCTTCATGCGGTCACAGAAATTACACGTGCCTGCCAAGAGCTTCAGTTCTGTGATGTACCTCTCGAAAGATTCACCCGGTAAACGGTTGCGGCCAAAAATAGCAGATGCCTCTGGTATGTCTCTTTCGCGCAACTTTCTCAGAATTATCCAAATCTTCTCAACACCTCGGTCAGACCGGCCTCCTGACTGACACCGCCAAGCTCCAGTGTTTCCAGTACCATTCTGGCATCGTCACCAACAGCGTGCCTAAACATTGCGAGCTGGTAAGTCATCGGCTGGGCGTCCAATTGATTCAATGTTCCGAAATCCACCAACTCGGTTTTCCAAATTCTCCAGTTGTCTGCTAGTGAACTCTTTGTCATCTGCAAGGGAGTGGGAAACGGAATCACCGGCTGGCCGCCAACTGCAAACTGGGTCTTGGACAACGGTTTCTTCCTCTCTTCTGTCACCATGTTGTGAGCCTGGGTCTGCCAGCCGCTCCAAGAGAAAGAAAACACACCGGTTCAGCACACAAGCGTTTTATTTACAATTCTGAGCTTCTGTACAAGTAGCTGTGCTTCTAAAACTCACCCGCTTACGCGATCGATCACATGACCGACCACACTGAGGCGGGTGATTCCCTTCGTCCCAGCTTTCATCTACCATCACACTGACCATGCTCTATGCTGCAAACGTCTGGCGCTAACACTTCTGCTCCGCAAAAGCGCATGATTTCTAAACTTCTCACTTGTAACTTGAACTCGCAGTCTACAGTTCAATATTATGACGAAGCGATCCAGCAGTTGTCAGTGATGAATGCAGTTCGTGGCCTAACGCTGACTGCACTCGTCTCAGGTTGGCTATGAAGATTGTTCTGATGCATTCTATACACCGAACTTGGGACATCCGAACGATGTATGGATCTCCGAAACATCGATCGTTTTGATCGACACTAAAACAAGTTCCAATGGGCACTGAGTTTCAGCATACCAATGACGCTTTGAAACGACGACTGCTACAGATTCTCGGAATTGACCGGGAGCGTTAGTGGGTGGCAATGCCCCGCAGGATGGAGAAAGCCATTGCTATTGGTCACAGCTGAGTGCTATGCCAGCTTCTCCCAAACAAGGGTCCAGGAAAGCCCTCACTTAGTGTGGCAGTAGCTGAGAAAGCTGAACTAGTGATCCATTCTTAGTCGTGTCGGCTAGCCCATTGGGCGGAACACTTTGAAGAGCAATTTAGCAGGGGTGCTGCTTGCCCGCTTGCCGAACCACCTGAGCCGACGTGGGTATTAGATGTCACACCTCCAACTTTGGAAGAGATTCGACATGAGCTTGCTGTGTTGCAAAATGTCGTGACCCGACGACTTTCCTCATCTTTGCTGAAAGATGAAGATGACTCTTTTGACTGGACTTGGTGTATTATTCAACACGACTTGGGACACTGAAAAAGTTCTTCAGACGGGCGACTGTCAAATGTCGTACTCATCTTCGAAAGGGTTTACAGACTTTATGCAAAAATCATCGGGGCATTAGTCTACTTTCCATTGCCTCCAAAATTTTCACGTGTGTCTTCTTCGTCGACTTCCTGCGCCCCGTGAGAGCCGAATGATTGACAGCCAGTATGACTTCCGCTCTTGTCGTGGTTGCATCGACCACATATTTATCAAGTGTTAGAGCACAGAGTCATGTACATACGATCGAGTATGGCGAGTTTACTGGACTTGAAAGCCGCCTTCAACTTTGTTGATCGCTTCAGCTTGTGGCACTGCTACTCCGTATAAGAAGTATCTGGAGAATTTTCCATCCCGAAATTTCTTCAGTGACTCGAGATCGGATAAGCGTCTACGGGAAATTGTCTCCTAAATTCCCCACCACAAGTAGGATTCGCGTGGGTTGTCCTTTATCTGCCTTGCTTTTCAACTTTTTGACAGAAATGGTCATGTATGACCGTTCCTTTATACTTGCGGAGTGGAAGTCTTGCCAGGCGACCAACTGGCAATCCTTGCGTTTACGGACAACATAGCTCCCCTTGGGTCTGACGCAGTGGCTATGCAAACACTACCGAATAGACTGGTGCGTAGCGCTGAACGCTTCGGCATTTGCTTTGCACCTACAAACTGCAAGATGTTATTGCAGGAGTGGATCGATTCACTGCCGATTTTAACTATCTGCCAACAGTCGTTAGTGATGGTGAATTGATTCACTTACCTTTGTAGCCGTGTCACCTCTGCAGATCTCATCACTGAAGAGTTCACCTCGAGCATCCGAAAGGTCTGCGTGGCTGTTCAGAGACTCAGTCATCCATTGAGACGGTGTGATGTCAGCTTGTCGGTGAAAGGCGGGGATATCACGCGGTGATAAAACCGGTGTTACTGTATGGATCAGAGGCTTGACCAATTCGCAGTGAAGACATTAAACACAGCCCTGATTGATCACCGGTGCTTACGGAGTATTGATCACATGTGATCACCATCTTCCTCATCAATATACGTTAGCTGAGGGTGAGAAACACAGCTCAGCTAATGTGCCGCACTACAAAAGATAGGATACTAAGAAATAACACTACAAAAATTCCAAACCAAGTGATATAATGTTACCTATTCTATTATGCATTTCGTATGAGATCGTAATTGGAACGAAATCTAATTGGGGCCGGCTCTTCCCCATATCAGCAAGTGTGTCCAAACGTGTTCATCGTCCTTAAGACCCCAGCCGAGCAGTCGGGATGCACCAACCGACGTCAGCTTCGAAGTGAGGGTTCTCATTCCTCTCAATCAAGTCATCGCTTGGCCTCCCCTCCTCGATTTCCAACCACACCCTGGCGCGCAAACAATACACATCGCGGTAGTCGGTGTGTTGGCATGTGCAACACGTGACCCAGCCATCTGAGTCTGGTGGGTGATATAATGGTGCTGAGCGGTTCACTCGCTCTTCCTGCACCAAATACGTGATGCCGAAGACGTTCATTGGTCACGCGCTGCTCCCACCAGACATGAGCTAAGCTGCGAAGGTGGCGATAATCGAATATGACGAGCCTCTTTATATCTGTCGACCAGATGGGCCAGATTTCACAACCATATAGGAGAGTTGAACGGGCGACTGCATTATAAACTCTGCGCTTCAGGGTGAGAGTAATGTCGCGTCTGCGCCACATGTGACGGATATTGGCAAAAGCACCTCGAGCTTTTGCTATACGGTTCGTAACCTCATCTTCAATACCACAGGCGCTACTATAGCTATCCAGGGACTTGAATTATTGAACAATTTCTGGCTTATCACTACAAAGCGTTAGCGCAGGGTTGGGTCCCTGCCAATCTTGGAGAATCACTTAGCATTTCGATGGAGCAAACCTTAACCCAAAACTGTAGACTGCTAGTACTGATCTTTTCAGTGCAGACTGGCACGTTCGGGTGCTGTCACATATTAGGGCAATATCATCCGCATATTCCAAGTCAAGAAGTCGCTTATCAGGAAGTACCTCCACACCTTCTAGGTCGTGTCCAGCGAATGCTATTTCCATGACTTCATCAATAGCGAAGTTAAGTAGGAAAGGTGACAGCGGGCAAGCTTGTCTCACACCGCTGGTGATACTGAAGGGTGGCGACAGTTTGCCATAAATCCTCACCCTGCCCGAGCTATGCGGATACAGCGCTTTGGTAATGTTTACGTATTTATCAGGCACACCTTTCCTCAGCAGACAGTCCTAAAGAGCACATCGATCAACCGAATCGAAGGCACCTTTTATGTCTAGAAATTCGACTATGGTGGGTCGCCACTAACCAGGGCGATGCTCCACCAATTGACGCAAAGTGGGAATGTGTCCGATGCAGCCTTGATCTCGGCGAACTTCAACTTGCTTTTCACGACCCCGGCTTCCACGAGTG